TGCTTCCACCTCGGCCAGGTATTCTGCCTATGCTGACGACGTTTCGGTTCTTGTGTCGAGCAGAGCCGAGATTAACGAAGTCAGCAAGCAGATCAGTGGGTATGAGATGGTGACAGGGGCCAAGATCAACCGCGATAAGTCTGTGGGTTTGCGGTTGGGTGCGTGGAAGGGAGTTTCTCTTCCCGGACATTTCCTCTGGACGGGTGGGCCGATCAAGATACTCGGCGTCTGGTTCGGTCCTGATCTCCAGTTGGAAATGAATTGGTCGGAGGTGCAAGGGAAGGCCGAGGCCGCGGGTAATCTGTGGTCTCGGAGGGGACTTTCCCTGAAGGGAAGGGCGGAAGTATGTTTTTCACACATCTATCCGATCCTCCTGTACCGACTCTCTGTGCTTCCACTCCCGTATGCCCGACTAATGTCATTAGTCAAGGCCTTGTTCTCTTTCTTGTGGAGAGGCAAGGCCCATATGGTATGTCGCGAGATCTGTTGCCTTCATCCCTCTGAGGGCGGTCTGGGTATGCCTAGCATTGAGATTCGTCAATATATGCTTCGCATTACGTTTCTAGACCGAATGTGTCGCGGTTTGGATGAGGTGGGCACCTTTTGGAAAGAAGATGTCCGAAAACATTTCCCATCCCTGAGAAGTGTGCACTCGTGCGAGGAGGAGGCCGGCCGTACACCTCGTGTCGAGTGCTCCTTCTACCGCGAATGTCGTCGTGCTTTGAAGCTCCTCTTGCGGACGTCGGATGGCCTCTCCGACGCCCAAGCGTTGTCTTATAAGGCATTATATCGATTGTTAGTTAGGGGTCCGTTCGAGATAGTCTGATCGACGAGCTCGGTCTTACGAAGCAGGAGGCTCGCTCGATATGGCCTTGAGCGCCTGGGTTGAAATGTCTCAATAACGATGAGGCATCACTCACCTGGCTGATGATTCGTGGGGCCCTCTGGGTCGGCAAAGACTTTGTTCAGCAGGCTTGGAGAAATATCAAACTGTCGTCGCTGTACTGGGAATGTCGAGACCATTGGTCACGCCTTTTTTCAGTGCAAGACGGTAGTGCCGTTGTGCAAGTTTGTTGAAGGCCTCATGGTTCGCATGCTGCAGGAAAAGTTTTTTGTCCTGGAAGTCAGTTCTGTTTGTAGCAATGTGGTATCGCAATTGACGAAGGCTGAACACTATGTGTTCTGTTGCTTACTAGGGGTTATGCGAGTCGTGATTTGGACGACGCGAAAGAAGGAATTCTATGATGGCGCGAAGTTCACCTCTTCCCAACTGATCTTGTTCTTTAAGCATCAGCTTAAAGTCAAGATTAGGACGGGAAGGCGGCGGCTCCCAGCATCAGAATTTGGCAAAAGGTGGGTGAATCTTGCGCGAATCTGTAGAGTAAAAGGGGCTGACCTAGAGTGGCATTTGGACGTCGGTTAGGTACAGAATTTTGTCTTATCAGGGTTGAACATAGGCAACCCACCCAGATATTAGGCTAGTCTAGGCTTTCAATTTTGAATTTTTAGTTTCTTTTTTTTTCCCGGTTAACTTAGCTAGGGTATGTATGCTCATTGGTCCCTTTTATTTCTGTCCCTATTTTTCTTTTGTTTAATTCCCCATCCCCTCCCTCATTAGGTGGTTAGTAATGTCAGTTCTCTGGTGGATGCGGGGCGCCTTTCGTTTCGTGTGTGTGCTTTCGTATTTGTTGTTGTGTATGAATGAGTGAGTGTTTGTGTGAATGCCTGATGGTTTGAATGTGTTCTTATTTTCTTAGTCACGCATCGATTTCGTCCGGTTAACTGATATTTCTGCCACATTCAAAGTTTGTGGGGGGTTTTAATGCTAACACTATTTTTGTTTAGTTTATTGTGAATATATTTCGTCATATTGTATATACTCATTGGGGATTTTTTTAAAAATTGTTATTTTATGACCCTCCCCCCATGAACAATATCTGTACATAAGGGGACTAGTTAGGACTTTGTAGAGAATCTGAGGTATTGTGGTGGACGTAGTAAGAAAGGTAGGAGTGAATGTGTTGGTTTGGTGATTGGATTATTGTTGGCATGTTTGGGTCACTGTCTGCGACTAGCTAAGTTTAGATTTAAGACAGATGAAGACCGTCATTCCCCATCCCCCTTTTTGGCCCTTTGCCGCATTTTCTATTTTAATGCAAATAAATATAGGAATCAAGAGATTCAACCAGAGACTGCCCGACTGCGACTCAGTCAACACATTCTCCAGGAACGGTCTTACCAGGAATATACAAAAGACTATATGTAAATATTGTTTACACTTTCTTGTTTCAATACTTTTTGTTTTAAGTACATTTTGTGTTGCATTATTATTCCATGCATTAGTCAAGTTTCAACATATATATATATATATATATATATATATATATATATATATACGACAAAAACTTATGTTTGCTGAATATATTTGGCATGTTAACACTGTAATTAATATGAATTACTAACATTTTTACGCTTTTAACAGTTGATAATCTAAGTGTAAATACTGACGAAAACGCCGTTTCTCAGGATTCAATTCATGCAACTAGGTATTGTATGCTTGTCTATAGTGAATTAACCCGTATTTCGCCAATGAGGCTAATGGCGTCATGTGTTGTTTACCTTATAGCGATCACCATCTTCGCACACACACACACATACACCCTTACAAGTTCAAATCTTTAACAGAATTCATTCATTGGACAGAAAGCAACACTGCTATCTGAAGCGACAATTTTAAAATCGCTATATTTTCGTATAGTAAATTTTGTGCATTTTGGGAGAATTGGCTACCAAAAGTCTCCCTAAATCTCATCTTATTGATTGGTCAGTATCAACCAATCAGATTCTTTTCATGTGGAGAATGAATTTTCCCGCGCAGATTCCTAATTCGATGACTATCTATATAAGCAGAACAAAAGAGGAACAACCCCAGTGAGAATCTATCTTAGCCGAAGACATCCGCCCATCTTCTAACTCACTCTCAAATTACATATACTATCTCACTTACATAATTTTCCTCTTGCACGGCAGAACTGTCTAAAACATTTATAACAGACTAATAACTCTATAATTTCCTTTTCAGAGAACATTAAAAAAATTTTATAGTCAAAGAGAGACTACTCTCGTCTGACTCATTGCATGCTTCTTTTTCGTATACATTCTTTATTGTACGCTTTGTTGAATACAATTTATATATTTATATATATATATATATATATATATATATATATATATATATATATATATAGATAGATAGATAACTTTACAAAAATGAAATAAATGTGGTGAGAGGCCTTGTCACGCTCCATCCCATTGAAAACTACGACGTTCATTTGGAATTCTGACACAACATCACTGTTGGAAATGTCCGATGAGTGATACTGTGTTTTACAATAACATACAATACGTAGCAGAACTATCAAGAAAGTCCCTGGCATGATGTGTTATCTGCAGTATCAATATTTTATAGGATTTGATGCGAATGTTAATGTGTTTATCAGTAGACCTGACGAATTTTAAATGTTCGCAAAGTTATACCGATACAATATACGGTACCTAGCGGTGTAGGTTGTTTGCTATACAACGAGTACAGAAATATATTACAGTTAGTATCTTAATATACAGATAACTGGTGTGGTCTTCATAAACTTTAGCCTAACATCATTTATTGCCAGGCCTATGATTTGGCTATTATTATGCTGCCCTATGCTTGGGGCTGACTTATATGTTAGGCATATGCCGTAATCAGAATTACGTGCTAAAAATCTTGAAGTAGGTTGTAGACTGCAATTTATGGTAATCGGTCGATAGCGGGAGAAGAACTGAGTCACCGGAAACAATGTCACTATATCTTTAGTGTAAATGAAGAATGTGATACCCCAAAGAGAAAATAAAATTAAACAGAAAAAGAAAACAAATACTATGCTTTGATCCCGTTCCTTACGGAAATGCACCCACTCTTCATGGGAATAGGCGGTGGCACAAGATAGCTTTAATGGGGTTTGCTCACATGCATGCCAAATTCAAGTATAGGTTAGTTCTTATGGTATCTGTAGTCCTAGCATCGCTATGCACCAACTTTTAATGCAATGAAAATAAACTACCGCATATAGAAAGCACAAGAGTATGTTTCTGATTACTTTAGACGGAAAAGAAGGAATATTAACATTTGATCCCAACCAAAAGCCGTATAAAGAAGAATTGATCCACTATTTACTACCTCCACGCGGTTTAATGCGCTGTGTCAATAAGAGTATATGGACCATGGAGAAAATCTGGCCGGTTCCGGCGACAACTCTACAGCTGGGGTGGTTATTTAATATACCGCCTTCTTTATTGTAACGAGGGACGTGCTGTTACGTATTTGGAATCACCAGGCTTCCCCCATAGCATTCAGGGAAAGATATCAAATAATATGCTTTGATCCCAGTTAGAAGACCGAGTTTCAAGAATCAACCCATACATAATTGATATTATTTAAAGTAGATTTAGGGTAGATTCATTGGTTCGTTTTCTAGTGTTTATCAACCCTTTGCGGGTAATTTGAAAAATAATTGTAGGGATTTTTTAACAACCATAATGGTTTATCGATACTGTAGAAGTCAAGTGACTTACCTGCGAATATGGTTGCCTTCTTCTGTTTCCTTGTAAAACAAGCCAGCTGATTTTACCTCATTTTATAGGAGAGTGCCTAATACACCAGTTAGGTTGGTCCATTCTGCTAGAATGGACCTGCCCAATACATTTGCATGAGTGGTCTTCATTCACCCATATATTTCTCCCTGAAATGACTCAAGTCAGTTAGCTTTGGCTACACTTGCCTATTTGTGTGTCAGACCACTGGCAAGCTAACCAATATTCTACAGATACAAATATTACTTATTAACACCTGGTTGGGAGGAGAAGATGTGAATACCTACCTTTTCCCAAGGGCATTTGCACGGGAAATAGAATACGAATGACCCTTTAAAAATTTCGACCTATAATCAATTACACCAGCAACGACACCTGATAATCACAAGCGGTCACACATCTAGTTACTGACCAAACACGACGTTGATTAACTTCGGTGATCGTACGGGAACCGATGTTTCAACGTGATGCGGTCAAAACGTAACTAGCTCAACGGCAACTGGAACTCTGTTCAAGGAACAACAATTCCCAGGCATTATCCATTACCCTCACATACAAGCTTACAGCACCTTGTTTTCATCCGATTTTGGACTGACCAGACTCGACGTTGCTTAACTTCGGGAACTTGTGCTTCAACCCAATGTCGCCGTACGCTTTACGAGGGAAGAATACAAATAATAATGCAGAGCATCATCGAATAATGTATTGAATCTTTTCGGAAATTTATCTTCGGTTGATAAAAATTTTGCAGAAATAGAAAAATAACTTATAAAGAATTTTTATTTAACACCGAACCATTTTGTCCGTGTGTAAGTCAGTGCAACGAGACCATAATAATGTGAATCCATTTTATTTTTTCGCAACTAGTAAGTTTTGTATTTTTTTTATGAGTAATATCACCAAGAAAATACAAGCTGTCATATGGCCTGATGCATTTCGGCATATATTGTGTGTGAGTCTCAGTGCAAGCGCGTATGTAAAAGCCGTGCTTACATATGATGGCGAACGTATATTTACAGATATTGTTTAAAGGACTGACATACACACACACACAGACACACACACAGACACACACACATATACACACACACATATATATATATATATATATATATATATATATATATACTGAAATAATGATACTATAGACATGGCTAAAACAGATCCTGGCATCAGAAGAACGGGTTTATCATAAAAGTCTGAAAGAGTTTAATGACTGACTTTATTAAACAAATTGAACGTCATTCTACAAACAGCTCAATATATCGGACTCTGTGACAGTTTTTTGTACAGGATTCATATATAAATATTTACTGCTTTGTTTCTGACGAATCTTGTTCTTTATTTTTTTATCGGTTTCTTTCACTCTCAGTAAACCATTTTGTCTTATTCCTGTTATCGCTTAGGGTATGTGAAATGATCAATCATTAATTGATTAAATCGTTTTCACGGCTTATCAACCCATTCCAGGTTATTTTAAGCCAGAAAAATATTTTTTGTGATACTGAGGGTCTAGTGATATAATTCTTACTAATTAATCCATAGGTGGTGGATCAAAAGGTGGATTTCTATATTTCCCGATGATGTTTGTGAATAAATGAATATAGCGTACCCAAGAGACTATGCAAATTAACAATTTCGAGCCATTATGCATTGTACTACTGACATATCCAAGCTTAGAACACCTGGTATCTTTAAGCGGCTACATACTGACTAGGCTTGACGTTGCTTAATTTATGAGATCGTACGTGTAGCTGTGTTTCAATATAATGAGTTCGTAATTCATAAAGGATTTTCTTTCATTCTTTTTTTCTTTAAAAAATGTGTAAACTTCTGATGAAAACTGTTCCTTGATCTTTTTAACCCAAGCAAGTCGATAATATCACTCGGACACAAGTGTTTATCGGGAGTGAAAGAGAATGAGAAAACTTTATTTACGGGAAAGGATAATAAAAGAACCGATTTAAAAAAGACAGAAGATAGCGATTTAAATTTTTTCAAGCTGTAAGTGGCAGAAAATCAAGGAAGCAGTAATGTTTTCCACAGGCGAGATGTGTGAGAAAAGAAACTATAGGAATAGAACTTACAGTTACAGCTAATTTTATCAATAGTAAAACAATGAGACCTAATTGCCAATCTAGTAATACACTTCAATACATAGAGTCGAAGTATCAAGGAGAAGAACTCACTAGAGCAACTGACGTAAGGATATTTATAGAAAAGACAGAGTTATGTTGATTTGAAAATGTCTGAAGTCAAGATGATAGATGTGGACCAATATCATTGCAGATCCTTCATTAGATTTGTCAAGTATTATGACATATACTACGTGTAACAGCAAAATTGTCCAAATCGTCTAAGAGCAAAATTCTTCTATTTTTAGATTAAACCAATGTATCTAATAAATGATTAAATATATCTTACTGGAGTTTTCCGAGGTTTATATAACACTATTGGACGCTACTGTGAGTAATAGGAATGGCTAATTACGCTCCAAGTATCGTGATAAAATAGATCATAAACGAAAATGACATGTTCCTCATTAATTAATCATAGCTAATGAACGGAAAGTCATTAAATCTTGAAATAACATTCAAATATATATATATTATCCCAGGATCATTTTCTAACTTATTCAAGATGATCTTCGCCCTCTCTCACCTCCTAACTTTCTGTCGTGGAGTAACAAGTTGCCTCACAGGTTTCATGTACGGTTTCATTATCAAGTTTTTTTTCATTGTTCTTTGGATTGTCATAGCTGATACACCTCTCTCACGGGCCAAATATTCATACGAACTCTGCCCACGTTGTGTTGTTGATCTTAGAGCAATAGAAGATCGAATATTGTAGTAATCTAAGCCCTGATTCCAGCCGCTGCATGTGCTATATTAAAGAAGAAAAATATCTTCCCGAAGAAAAAAATAACATGAAAGATTCATTGGGTTAATCTTCAATTGGTTTATATAGATCTTGGTATAACAAAAACTAACCCTTTCCGCATCAATGTCTCAAATGACACTGAAACCCGACTAAATTCTTGAGATGGGTTCAAAGTTCTTTAGAATCTGGAAATCCGGTGGCAGCTGATTGGATTCCAGAGGCACTAGATATGGGACTCTCATCCCAAGTCTCTGAGCTCCCAATGTTATCTGATTATATCCACTTCAACACACAACTGTCTTGGAGCTGAAGGCTTCTGGACATTCGGGAATTCCACAATTTTGACATTAATCCCACAAGGTCTCTTTGTTTCCTATTTCTGATTTCTTGATCAATTTCCCAAATTTGGAGACTTATCCACTATTCTTGATAGTAGTCACAGGAATTGCTCCACCCCTAACTCCAACCTGCTTTACTTCACATCTCGCCTCCCCACTCCACAGAGGCGGAGATAAATTCTGTCTGTTCTTTCTTTCTCGGTATTCTAAATCTGCCTACCTCTCAGGGCTGGTGTTACTGTCTTTTTAACAGATCTAATTTTTAAGGTGCGTAGGCTAAATGTCGTAGTTTATTGTCATCATTAATTTCAATTTTCTGACTCCATTCCTCTTCCCTAGAATGAGCTTTATCTAACGAAGACATAAACCATACAACTCGTCTACCAAGTCAGGATCGATTATCATAATCTAAACCCTCAGAGTGGGTTCATTCCCTGTTTTCATTTCTCGATTCGTTTTCGCCAACGAAAATATAATTTGTTTCTCTTCTCGTTAACGACATGTGTTTTACTAATTTCTCAAGAAAGACATAAGGCCATTTTGTTTACCCGATTTCTGATAGATTAAAAAAGAAACTTTTCTTGTATCGTTCCAATTCGTAGGGGGGTCCAAGTGACCTTTTTTTTCATTTCCACAACATCCGGCAAAATATCTTCTATTCTCTGTTTCTATCTATCTATCTACTAGTTTATATTTTATTTTGGGCTTAACCCATTTTCTTTTAATTATTAACATTTAACCACATCACGGCCACAGTGTCATTAATCGTAAGTGATGTTAGTTAAACATAGACACTGCTCCAATGGTAAACACATTCAATTGTCTTGGTTGATATAATTGGTAGTTATTAAGTTTAGTCCTGAATAATATAGAACAATTAAGAAAACATTTAAGTGCAGCAACATGTCCACTAATCGGTTAGATTTATTTGCAATCATAAATCTACACTGGTATGTTTTATCTTTTTTTTCGATTGAGTATTTCATTGTATCACTTCTAATATGCATTTTTTCCCTCACGATTTCCATACATGACGATTAAGTTTGTTATATACTGAGCGACACTTGAATAACAGACATTATAGATTCATGCATACTTGAATCGGAAATGTCTTCTGAAAATTGCGTATAATTATTGGGTCTCAGAGCAATATCCAGCCATTTTCCTTGTACAGAATGTCGAGATCATAAAGTGTTCTCCGGTGAGAAGATAATGTACATTCCATTTCGTTCGTCACACTGACCCCCTGGTTCATAAAATGGGAATATCACGCTGTTTCAAAGAGAAGGCAATGATCTACCCTGAAGATTGCACAGTAAGCGCCGTGTGAACGCATTAAAAATGCTACATAGCGACTTGTGGATTATGGTATAGAGAGCAAAATAAAGGATACAAGTGATTCTATTAAAATAAGATGTAAAACTCCTCTGGAGCTAATAAGATATCTCAATAGAGGTAGCCAAAGAAGTCAGAGAATTGGATTGAGCGATGTAAGAATTGATAGAAAGTGAGACCAAACAGAAGGAAAATATGCTGGAACCCACAGAATAAAAAATAACACTAAACTATGTTGTAGTAAAAAAGATAATTCGGAAACTTTGAGACGAAGAAATGATCTCTGATATATTTTTAAGCAAATCACCCAAAGCAAGGCAAGAGTTCTACTAGCATGCAAGGGATCACAGTAATTGAGATCAGGAGTAAAGAGGGTGTTTGAGGAAAGGACACAGGGAAGGACGGGGATCAGGATCAAGGTATCAGTAGATGTCGATTGACATTACATTTGAATATTTGAAGGTTATAGTTATCAGTGATGTAAGTAAAAGGAAGTCGGTTCCAGTGCCGGGAAGTGCGAGATAAAATGCTGTTGGAGTAGAAAAGACGGCTACATTTATCCATTTCGACAGTGAAAAGGTAGGACCGAAGTGCCAAGCCAGTAGCACCCTTAAATTCATACAGTTTGGAAACCAGGGAAAGTAGCTCGTCAGAGCAGTTTCCCTGAAAATAGTTGTAGAAAAGACCAAGTGAAGCAACGACACTTCTGTGAGAGAGTGACTGTGGACGAGATGCCAGATTAGGACCTATCACATTGCCTATCCATCTCTGGATTTTATCGAGGACATCGGGATGAACAGCTGGTGCACAAAACCATATATGTCAGCCGTATTCAATGCAAAACGAATGGTTGATTTGTAGATTTGTAGAATTAACTCAGGCGAGAAAAATCTGGCGCGACACAGAGAATCAAC